CCCCACCTCCACTCCCTCTACCTCTCCTCTTCCCCTTTCTCTCTCCTGGAATCTCCACCCTCCCCCACCCTCCCTTCTCTCCTTCTTAAATATCCCCCTAAGGTTTTGTGAAAACTCAGATCCCAAAACCACAGATCTTAAGGGGTGTACCCAAAAGGTTTTCATGACAAGTAAGTTCAAAAATCACAAATCGCAAGGGGTGTGCCCCTCTCAGGCTTTGTAAGAACTCAGAGCCAAAAATCACACATCGCAAGGAGCGTCCCTCTAAACGCGTTTGTAAATGATCCACCCTGTCCCTCTCACTTGCCTCCTACCTCCCCCACTCCTAACTCATTCCTTCCCTTCCCATCCCATGTCTCCTCACCTCCCATCACTTTTTCTCCCATCCACTCATCTTCTTATCATCTTCTTATCACATTCATCACTTTTTAATTTGTCTTATGGGGTCTATAGAGCCCATATAGAAAAGCTTCATAGATATGTAAACCTTACAGATCCTCGAGATAAAGAATTTGTAGGAACCGCTTATGTTTCCCACAAATGGAATCCTTTATAAAAAAAATCTTTGAAAGATCGATTATATGGCGCCCTCATACACAGTCTTTATATACTCCTTATAGAAATCTATAGATCCTCTGTACAGATCCCTGATATGGAACCCTTGGTAGAAAACCCTTAGACTATACAATCCAAAGAACGCACCCACCCTCCACTCCCTCTACCTCTCCACCCATCTCCCCACTCCCTCCTCTTCCCCTCCCTTTGTCCACCCGCCCTCCCCTCATCCGCGCTTCTTCATTCACCCGTAACCCTTCTTGATTGCCATCTCACTCTGCTCCTCTTTCTACCTGCCTTTACCTCCCTCTTCCCACCCCTCGCTCCCTCTACCTCCTCTCTCCACCCACCCTCTTCTCCCTGTTCCTCTCCACCCTCTCCCCACTCACTCACCCAACCCACTCAGCCCGGCCAGGCTCCCCAGCTGGCCCTGCCTCAAAGCAAGCCTGGCGTGCTGGCCGCGCATCTCAGCAGGCCCCTGCCCCCCCTCGAGAGCCCACCAGGCTCAGCAGGCCAGGCCGCAGGCAAGCTGCGAGCTGGCCGCCTTCGGCAAGCTGTCTAACATTGTTTCTTATCCACTTTCACCTATTCCCCCGCTTCAGTCCATGCCCTACCTTTCACTCCTTTCCAGACCCTTCTGATATGAGTAAAATGAGAGGAGGAGGTCAGAGGGACGAAGAACAGCTCTCTCCATTACTTTCTCTCATCTGCTTTGACCCCTTCCCTTTCCTGGCTCCATGCATGCCCTGCGAGAAGAGAAGAATAAGAGAGAAAAGAGGAAGAGCAGAGGAGAAACTGGTTTCCCCTCTTTCATTACGTAGCATTTCTTTTGGCCACTTCCTCCACACTTCTCGTATCTTCCTCTCTCTTCTTCCTCTGCTGGGCTTGAAGCTCTCTCTCGCCCTCTCCGCAACTCTCTTCTTTCTGTCGAGCGGCCGAGCGGTGGGAGAAGAAGGGCACAAGGTGAGTGAAGACGAGAACACTTCTTCCTTGTCTTCCTCCACAACCTCTTCCTGGTTTTTTACCAATGGGACGGTGAGATAGGACAAGCAAGGCACTTTCGACTGCTTTCTGCATCGCTTCCCCTCCCCTCCTCTCTCTCACTCTCTGCCTCTGTTTTTTGCTGGTCTTTCTCTCTTACTTTCTCTCTTTGTTTCTGTGTTTGTTTCCTTATGGCTCTCGTTCTTCTTCTGCCCTTCTCGGATTGTCTCTCAGCTTCTGTTGTCTTTCTCTTACTCCCTTGTCTTCTTCCTTGTGAATTGTCCTTCTTCGACGAGAGGCAGGAAAGGCAGGAGGAGAAGGAATAGGGGGCAAGCGATTCTTTCCAAGCGAACATAATAGGCGGAGAGAAGCGGAAAAGGGAATGTGCAGAAGTAGACGGGAAGGGAGGGAGGGAGAAAGAGGGATCTGGAGAGAACAATGAAAAGGAGGATGGATGAGGTGATGAGAAGAGTGCCCTTTGCATGCCCTGAACTCTCCGTTTCTTTATTTCTCCTTCCTTATGAAGATGAATAGGGTAAGAGAAGAGGAAGAAGGCAAAGGGCAAGGAAGTAAGAGAGGCGAGCGAAGGAGGAATTCTCCTTTCTTCTCCGAACCGTCTTCCCGCATCTTACCGCTTCCTTTCTGTTGTCTGCTCTTCTTTCCTTATGTCTTCGCAGAGCCTTTCCTCCTTATCCTTTTCTTTCCTCTGGTCATTCAAAAAGGAAAAGAGGAGGAGACGCGAACTGATTCTCCTTGCTCCTTCTTACCACACTCTGCTTCTCTACATCCCCCTGCTTTCTTTATACTCGGTTTGGTGTTCATGTCCTCGGGAGGCCCCCTTAGGGAGGAAGTTGGTGGCTTCCAAAAAGTTGTGGAAGTGTCTGAAGGCGCCTACAAGCCTCCTCAAAGCCCTCGCGAGGCCCGGAATCCTTTGAGATACGGCAACACTGGTACTCTCTGGCTTCCTCTTCTGTGTCCTTCTTCCTAGTCTTCCTCGTTTCTCTTTCTTTCGCACTCGACTTCCCGCACTCTCTGTCTATGACTTTCTCTTATCCACTTTCACCTATTGCCTCGCTTCAGTCCATGCCCTAGCCTTCACTCCTTTCCAAACCCTTCTGACATGAGTAAGCATCAGAAGAATGAGAGGAGGAGGTGAAAGGGACGAAGAACAGCTCTCTCCGTTACTTTCTCTCATCCGCTTTGACCCCTTCCCTTTCCTAGCTCCATGCATGCCCTGCGCTAAGAGAAAAATAAGAGAGCAAAGAGGAAGAAGAGGAGAAAGGGGCTTCCGCCCTTTCAATACGTAGCTTTGGCTTACGCTTCTTCTGGCCACCCCTTGCCCCCTTCCCTTATCTTCCTCTCTCTTCTTCCTCTGCTGGGCTTGAAGCTCTCCCTCGCTCTCTCTGTATCTCTCTTCTTTCTGTCATTTCTCAATCTCGTCTTTTCCCTTGTCCACTTTCCTTCCTGGTTCCCACTTTTCCGCCAGACAAGAAAATCAAAGAAAGGAGAGCGGGCGAGCGGTGGGAGAGGAAGGGCACAAGGTGAGTGAAGAGGAGAACACTTCTTCCTCGTCTCCCTCCACAAGCTCTTCCTGGTTTATCACCAATGAGACAGTGTGATAGGACAAGAACAAAGAATGAATAGACGTGGAGGTCAAGGCACTGTCGGCTGCTTTATGCATCGCCTCCTCTTTCTGTCTCTCTTTTTGATTATCTTTCCCCCTTAGTTTCTCTCTTTGTTTCTGTATTTCGTCCCTTATGGCTCCTTTCTCGGATTCTCTCTCCGTTTGTTTTGTCTGTTTTCTTACTCCCTTGTCTTTCTCCTTGTGAGTCTTCCTTCTTCCTTCTGAGTGATAAGGGGAGAAGGACGGGAGGCAGGGAAGGGAGGAGGAGAAGGAACAGGGCAAGCGATGGGACAAAGAGAGTGAGAGAAAGTTAAAGATAAGTATCAAAGCAAGCATAATGTAGCAGGCGAGAGAAGTGGAAAAGTAAATGTGCAGAAGTAGAGAGGAAAGGATGGAGGGAGGAGAGAGAGAGAGAGCGAGAGAGAGAGAGAGAGAGACAGAGAGAGAGAGAGAGAGAGAGAGAGAGAGAGAGAGAGAGAGAGCGAGGGGGAGATGGACAACGCAACGAACACGAGGAAGGAGGAGATTATGAGGAACAGTGTCACTTGCTCTCCCTGAGCTCTCCGTTCTTGTCGCTTCTCCTTCTAATTGTGAAGAAGGATAGGAGCAGAGAAAAGAAGGCAAGGGCAAAGAAAGTCAAAGAGCCGAGTGAGGGAGGAATCCACCTTCCTTCTCCCAACCATCTTCCTCCATCTTATGTCTTCGCTTCTGTTTTCGATTCCTTCCAGCAACGGAGCAAGGAAAGAGGGGACAGAAGAGATGAGAGAGCGAGACACGGCAGAGAGGAAGACAGAGCGAGAAGAGAGAGAGAGAGAGAGAGAGAGAGAGAGGCGGAAGCGAGACCTCCCTCGTGTTACCCCTGTCATTGAAAGCAGAAGGCGACAAGAAAAGAAACAGAAAAAGGATCAATCAAAGGAAGGAGAGAAGGGAGAGACGAGAGAATGAAGAGTTCACTTCGTCCATCTTCATGCCTATTCCTCTGTCATGACTTCAATTTCTGTGTCTTCTTGACAAACGGACAAACGGAAGAGTGGATAGGCAGGAAGAGGAACGGGAATGAGAGAAAGAAACAGGACGAGTGATACACAAGACAGATTCTTGATGGTTCCCGGCGCGAGAGGGACGGGAGGACACTGTGATAGACCCTAAAACCAGCACGGAGAACGTCGCCTGGCATGTCCGAGTTGTGAGAGCGTAAAACCATCTAAATCCTCATAAACTCCAAACCTTAGATCTTCCATAGTATACTGACCCCGGTAAACCATAGTTAGGAGCTAAGACCCTAGACCCGTAAACTCCTGTCGAGACCTTTACACTGTACACGCTTCGGCCTCCGATGTAACCGTCGTGCCAGACCTTGTCGTCGCCGTGCTGAACCCAGTCGTCGTCGTGCTAAACCGAGTCGTCGTCGTCCTTGTCGCCGTGGTGTTGTTGCAGTTTAAGTACAAAGCCCAGCAGGATTGCCAAATAGACCCTAAAGGTCCATGCCACATAGGGTTTTAGGCTCGAAGCAGTCAAAGCAGTTTACGGTTGATTTGGCAGGGTTTGGCTGTGGCTTAAGGGTCTCGGGGTTAACTGTTTGGGGCTTGGGGGGTTCGGGGGGCTGCAGGGTTTGGGGCTCAGGGGGGTTGCGGTTTAGGGGTGTTTGAGGGAGTTTGCTCCACGTAGATTGCAGTCGTGGTTGCGTGGGGCTCTGGACAGAAACAACGGCACGTGCATGTGTGTGCATGTGCTCTCGAGCAACCTCGCGTGCACACTCAAGCGCGCACGCCCGAAAAAGTGTGGGATGATCGGATTGCATGTCAATCTTGTCGGACTGCCACGACGCAATCTGCAAACTTCAAGCCACCCGAGTGATGTCAGAATTTTCTGGCTGAATGCGGCAAGGAGCGGCGCGCCTGGATGATCGTAGCGACCTCCTCCGTGTCGCTCCAGTCAGGAGTGGATGTTTCTCGGCGTGCAGCAAAAACTAGGTTCGTAGATGCCTTCGCGCTTCGGTAGCCTCTGTGGCCCGAACCTTCCAATGACGCGCATGATCGCGAAGATGGTCCAGTGGCACCTGGAGCTGGCGGCTGGCAGTTGTTGGAATGGCGGACTGCTGCCCCTTCGAAATCAGGGCTGTGACTGCCAGAAGATGGCCATTGGAGGCGCCGTATGCCAACTCACAGCATCGCAGGACAAGCCAACAGATCAACAGATGCAAAGATCGAATGCTTTGAACGTCACCTCTCCGAGGGTGTGAAGCGTATCGTATAAAGGAATGGCAAGCCTCGGAGATGCAACAGAAATCACGGCTTGCGGCTTGCCCTTCGAGGCTACAAGAAGGGGCGGCACACTTCTGCCAGACCGCGCAGCCACTGCGGGGCATGTATGCCGACCTGCAGCTGCGAAGCTTTTGCGAAGCAGCAAGCAAAAACAGCAGCTACGAGCAATAGCGTTCTTGCTTGGCCCGAGCCCCATCACTCGGCACATGCCATCACTCGGAGGCTCTCAACTGGAAGTGTCCCGGAGACGGAAGTGGAAGCAGAGAAAGCTAGATTACTGGGCAGTGGCTACAGTGTTCGACACACCCCCGCTAAGCCTCTGCGACTGGCACAAAATCATGTCTGAAAGATCACGACAAGCGATTCCACAACTGTTGCCGTGCATGAGATGTTCAGCCTTTTGACAATCTGTTGTTTGTTGTTCTTGCCTGTTCCACAACCACAACCATACTAACTACCGTCATCCGAGCAGCAAGGTGGGCATTCGGATCCTCGTACTATGCCTGCTCTCCGCTACGCTAGTCACTGGTGTTGCCTTCGCCGCAGCAGCACTAGCAAGCTATGTGGGGCTCGGTCGGGGATGCTGCTGGCACTGACGATGTCCAGTCACATTCCTGTAGCCACCGCACCGCGCAGGTGACATCAGCGGAAGGCATAGAGCAAGGGCCAAAGAAATGGAGGGATGCTTCCGAAAGCTTCCCACGCTTGACGTTACGATCAATTGCCTCGCGGTCGTCACGCGCAAGGTCTGCCCATGCAAAGTGCCTGTCAAGAACGGATCTGCTCACGTCCAATCATCTATTCCAATCCCTGGTCAAGAATCTGTACGAGCACGCAGCTTGTAACAAAGCAAGCCACTTCGGAGAAGTTACATAGCTAGCTTAGAGTTCATGGACCAGCGCGACGCACCGGGAGCCAGGCTGCTTCTGGGGCAATGCCAAGAATGCCAGATCTGCTGCAGCCAGAACCTGAAAGATCATCCCGAAACATTCGAGTGCATTATGGGCCATGCCAGGATCCCACCAATCCAGCCAGAAGCAGGCGCCGTTCCCTCGCCTTGGAAAGAGTTCGCTATGCTCGCAGGAGGCGGAAAGGTCTCTAAGCTCGGAGCAGCGGCCAAGGCTTCTTCTAGCTCCTAAGACTGCTCACGGCCACTCACTCGCTCACGGCTCGCTTGCCGCTTGGGTATCGCCTCTTGGGAGAAACCTTCGAGCATCTCCAACTTGAATGGCATTGGGCTCTCATCTGCCTCCAGCCTGGCAAGAACAGGCCATGAGGAGTTCTGCCATGACTCTTCTGAACTTCTGCCGAACCGTCTGTTCTACTCGATGACCTGAAATTCTTGAAAAGAAATCCTGGTAGAAGCCGGGGCAATAACTTGAGACGATGGCCACGAAAGCTAGCAGCAGCATGGGAGGTCGAGTTTTCAAGTCTACTTTAAGTCTCCGTATACAATGACAAGTAAGGATTGTAATCCAGCTCGCTGCCTGCAAGTTCTTGAAAGATAGCTCCAGGTTGAATGAATGCATTCTAGTGTTGCGTAGCATATCGAGATCACGTTTGATCCATGTCCGACCCTTCATGGGGGGGAGGGGGACCTTCGAGGGGGAGGGGGAGGGGGAGGGGGAGGGGGAGGGGGACCCCCTCCCCCCCTCCAGAAATCGGCCCCCCATGCCTGCAATCGAAATTCAACGAAAAAAAGCCTGTTAATGCAGTGAACCTTGATTCTCACCCAACACTAATTTTGTAAACGACAACGACCGCACAGCTCTGAAGAGCTAGCTTTCGTGACAATGAAGCCAACAAAAAGCCTGAGACAAAAGCCACAAACAATTTCCGGGTCCAAGCTCCAACTTTGCGAAAGCTTTACCGCCGAGTGGATGAAACAATGCACAACGAGGAGGATCTTTTTCGGGGCTTCTTGGCTCAGCAGCCCTAAGACGCAGTGTAGCGGGAAGAGGTTCCTTCTGGCATGAACTGCTTCGTTGGGTACGGTACGTGCCCCGGCCTTGTTTTTGCAATAGGGTGTAACTGGCAGCAGCCATGATCAAGAAAGGGGCGTGCCGCACGCAACATTGGAGGTTTGTTCATTCCAACTGAGCTTGCACTATTCGATTCTCAAGCATGCGGGCTCGACAACATCCTCACACGCTTCAGATCCTGCATCAACCCGCGAAGGGCAAACTCGGGTCTACTTTGCTAGACTTGCCGGCAAGTCCTCCAAAGCACAGGGCGGACGAGCTCGATACTGCAGTCGCCGGACCAGCCTTGCCAAGCGTCAAAGTGCAACCCAGTCTCTTCATTGCCGATTCGGTGAGGACGGCACTTCCACAATGAATTCGGATCGTCTGCGGTGCTACCGCGCGAGGAAGGGCGGCCGGATGTTGTTCCGATGCCTTTTAAGGATCATGCGTCAGATCGCCCTGGCATGGCCCCAGCTCGAGCTCGGGCCCTGCGTATCCGAGGCAGCGACTTGCCAGCCCAGCCGTGGACAGAGCCAGCATTGTTGAGGCAGAGCTGGCCACGTGGGAAAGCCTAGAGCGAAGCATCGCGGAACAGCGTTCGCGATCGTTCGCGTTTGCAGATCGTCTTTTCATTTGTCAGCCCAATGAACCCTGTTTTGAAGCTCCCAAGGACGAGGCAATGGATCTCCGCCGGCGAGCGCGCCAAACACATCTCGCTTGAAACCCATTGCTTTCACCTGTCGTGATGCCGTGCACTCGCTCGGAGCAAACGGGTGTCAAGCGAGCCATAGCTGACCGCGCCGATTGGAGCCTCGGCCGACATCAACTAGTCTGAAGGCTCAGCTTGAGCTCTCGAGCTCTGAGGTGCCAGACACAATGAAGGCCTGCAGCGCCCGTCAAAAGCGCCACCTTATCTCCAGCAGTGCGAGATCTGTGGGCATGTGTCGCCGTTTTCCAAGCTGGGAGCTCGTTCCCAGGGTCCAAGGTATGTCCAAAGCCCTGTTTGCCGAGCGAGCCAGTTGGCAGCACCTTTCCACGATCCGATCTTTGCTGACTTGCGAACGGCTAACGCCGACTGAACCACTTTCCGGCCAGGGCCGAGACGCAGTGTGAGTGCCGCTCGGGCTTCGCCACCGGATGGAGAAGTCCTGCTTGTCGGCTGAAAGGTTTCTGAAGCAAGTGAATAGCAGAGAAAAAGCTACAAACACAAGATGACGCAAGGGAGGTTTTGCCGTCGCACCTTTGTGCGGTACAGCTCGTGGTCGAAACTATTGAAGCTGCTTAAAATTGGACTTGTCGAAGCGACTTCAACAGCACTAGCTGGAGGCGTTCAGCAGTCGCGTTCGAATCGTCATCACTCCACAACTGGTCCACAACCTCACGGACAGTGCATCTGACATGGATCTCAGATGAAGAGCAGCCGCTGCTGCTGCTGCTCTGGGCTCTGACCTAAGCTACACAGATACACATGGTGCTGCTGATGCCGCTACCAACAGTCTTCCGAGGGCCCAGCTCAGTTCGTGTTCCTGGGTCTTCGAAACAAGTTTCGACAAGCTGCGTTATCGGCTTCCCTTTATCATGGTTTCATGGTTTCGGCACGAAGACTCTTAGTCATGACCAGCTTCCTGTAAAACAATAGGATGACTTGCTACCAGGAAGCGCCAAGTCAGCACAGCTCTCTTTGACGCGGCTGACCATGGTCATTTCGCACCTCAAAAGCTCAAAAGTTCGAGTACCAGACTTGTGGCGACATGGTGGAACAGCCAGGAGCAGAGGCTCGAAAAGGCGAAACGGCTTGCTGGGCTGCGGACTCGCGGATCCACTTGCGAGGGTCATAATAGCTCTTGTTCGGCTTCTCCTGACACCACCGCCGTGCGGATCACATCCACTACATACTGGCCACTGATGAAATGCTGATCCGGTGCCAACGATAGATATCAACCAGGAGCAAATCATTCATCCATGGGCTTGTGATGCCGCTGGATTACCACCCTAGTCTTCTATCAGAATTTCATGGTACTTGCTTCGATTGAACGACAGAGGCAGCAACAAGACTGAGATGTGCACGCGCTTCGCCGCTACTGCAGCGACTGCACGAGAAACGCATGCGAGCCCACCCACCCTCATTCTTGCTTTGGTGATTCCAAGTGCCGATCCAAACGCGACACTACTTTGTCTTGCTGTATGTTGCGCACAGGCGATTGTACAGGGTCTTGGAACTCGTCATCATGGCCCTGGAGGTAGCCCCCACTTCCCCACTTCCTCGCCCTCCGGATTGCCGATCTGACCCTGGAGGTAGCCCTCTTTGGCCTGACAGCACGCACGCAAAAGCTCTGAGTCAAGCTCCAAATACCTGCCGGGGCCGTGCCAAGCCTTGTAGAACTTCAGCAGACCTTCCCAGTATGCCCACTGAGTGTCGGTGTCCTGAGGTACCACGGAGGACTCGGCAAGACTCCGAACCGCTTAAGCGGTCCAAAACGCGGCATCCTTTCTGGTACAGGATACCTATTTTGAGTCACTAAATATATCAACGCAGAAACAGTCCACAGGCCTGGCACTTCCGATTGATAGTGACAATAAAATGAAAGCTGCTGCGGCAACTACATCCCTGGGAGGTGCCGGGGCGTTGTTTGCATCCACGGGTCCACGTTCATCTTCACAACCTTGCTCGCAGCACGGAACATTCTCAAACATGTCGGCATGATTGAATGGCTGGACGAGTTTGGGCCCATGTAAACTGAACCCAATTTGTTCCCATCCCTTCTGCCGATCCTCTCCCCCATGCCAACCCCCAACGACAAGACAAAAAAATTTCAACACAGGGTCAGATAAAGCAGAGTGCAGTCGCGACTTGATTCCACAACGAACCCTCGCTTGGGAATGTGGCTAGTCGCGGCTAGTCTATCAGCTTAGTTCCCGTTCTAAGGTCGCGACACCAGCATTGAGTGCAGTTGTGATGTGATGCTTCTCGGATCCAGAGCCACCATGGAAAACCTCGCCATGTGCAGGCCGCACACGGCTCTCGTAAAGACTTGCGCGAATTTGTGCCAGTGCGAGCAAGAGGCAAAGTTGAGTGGCTTGGCAATGTCCTTGCCCTCGGCCTGTCTCGTGGCGTGGGTCAGAGCATGTAACTCATCAGAACTCGAAGGTACGATGCTGCAAGTAATTAGCTCGGCCCGCTCGGCCTTCAATTTCTCGCTGGCCTGATCACAATGGCAAGAGCATGCGTGAGCACTGCAGCAGCTTCGGTCTCAGCGCTGGACATACTTCTGGCAGTCAGCCAGCAGTTCTGGCTTCAAGACCACGTTGCCGGCCTGCAATGAAGCCAATGTCTGAGGTCTGCACACCTTCCATGAGTTCGCGTGATTTCCAACACCTCCAAGGACCCTATCTACTCCAACTCGTCTATTCCCGCTTTTTCCTTCGGGTCTTGGCGAAGCTCCGATTAATTCCGGAACCACGGCAGGTTTCGAGGCCTTGGAAGCCCTCAGAAAACGTGGAAACTCTGGACTCGAGACCTCTCTAAACTCAGGGCCCTGTAGCCTCAGCACACAGAAAACTTCCAGCGAGGAAGGTTTGTACATTCTAGGCGCTGCAACCTCCGAGGCGAGCTTCCTAAAGTAGAATCTGGGCCTCACAGAATTCTGGGCCTCACAGAATCTCCCGAAAGTCCCCGCCCAGTGCCTTGTAGACTCCATGAACGTTGCCGAAAGCGGCTGCAATCGTGAACATGGGCGAGATAGGATTCAGACCTGCGTAGACTGCCCACACATCCTGCCGGACAGTTTGCAATAACCCTGAGCACGCTGAGCCACGCCAGCAGTCAGGAGAATGCCTAAAAAGTCCCTTCCGGCGGCATCAACCCAGTCCTCGGGGGTTGAGTAGAGCTTCTCCTTCGCGGCTCCAGTGTTGTCCACCTGGGCCACCGCATAGATGAAGCAAAAGGATGTTTCGCGAAGAGGACTGCGGAATCGTCCAAGAAGCCCCGTCTTCGACACCACCGGTGATTCCAATTTCCATCTCCAGGATGATCTTCATAGGAGACATGCGGGTCAAGTATTTCTTGCAGATCCTTGGCAGGCCGTGCAAGCTTGCAGCGGGCTGTACTGTGCAAAAGAGGCTGTGGAGCCGGCTCGATGTTCTCCTCGTCAGGCTCCTCAGAAAGATCCAACCTCGGTGTCGATCTTCCCACCATGCAGCGCGCGCTCAACCCGAATTCCGTGCTCCTGGGGAGCTTGCATGTGCGATGAGAACAGGGGTTCTCCGTGAGCCTTGAAGAATGCCTCGTCGGCCTTCCAGGAGTGCCAACAGCCTCAAGCTTTGCTTGGGCTGGAAGATGCCGCCTCCAGCATACCGTCGAACCACGGAAGCAGCTTCTTCGCCTCACCATACAAGGATAGGAGCCTGCTGCAATGACGGACGAGCACCACGTCATTGAGGCGTCCACACAGTGGTCGGAATGAACAATCCTCTCAAGAAGCACCAAGAGTTCCAGAGCTTGAATGTCTTCGCACATCAACTCCGGATCATGAATGCCAAGGCCAGGACACCGGAATGCCGTAAGCAGGAGCGACAGCGCGGGCCTTGCGAATATTCATGATATCGCATGTATGGTGTGCATGCCTCTGCCTGCAGCTACTCGAAACCTGATGTCCGACCCTTGTGTGAGGGATGCGGCCTTACAGCAAACTCGGAATGCCAAGAGAGGAAACCACGCATCATGAAAAGCTTGATGTCGGCCGCTGCCCCACTGCACCGGATTACAATAGGTTGTCTCTACGCCGTGGCCACGCCCTCGTCCCTGTCAAACGATCATGTCACGGGCTGTCTCTGGCCGGAACACTGCAGCTCTGTTGTGCTCGTGACACTGCTCATGAGATGAAACTGAGAGTCGAAGGAAACAGACATTCTCGGCAAAGACAATGATGGACAAACTAACACAAACTCAAGTGCATCGACGACTCCAAACAACACGGCATGCAGCATGCAAACTAAGCTGAGCCAGAATCGGCAATCGCAATAGCTGTTTCGTGCCTTAGTTCTTGAACCCTGTGGTTCAATCGTCGTGGTGAAGCGGCATCACGTGAGGCACGAGGAATGAACCCAGAAAGAAGAATCGGCTTCGCGCAGATGCTATGTTAACTTGAAGCCTACATGAGTACGTGAGAGAAGCCTGACATCCTGAGATCTCTGCAAAATGTGCGCCAGCTACAGCACCAAGAATGGATGCCTCGCATGCACTCAGGTGCATAATCGTCTTAGACATTTCGCATGGCGGTTTGGCGGTTGACCTGCAGCTTGCCCTTCTCGTTGGGCAGGGATTTGCCCGCCAGGAAAGCAGAACCACCCTCCGAGAATTGGATCATCACCGGCCTGGCAGTCGTCTGCGAGCCTTCTGCTCTCTGTCTCTGAAACAAAGGACTGCAACATGCTGCAACGGCTTCGGCCGCTGTTAGCCTGTTGAGGCTCGCCCCGGCTTCAAGGACGGAATTGATGGTACTAGTGCCTTAGCTCCACATCGACCCACACGACTTTGCGTTAACGGCTTGCGGCGGTTTTGGCACGGTATGGCCCAGGCTTGTGCAGTTGAAGGCGGGGATGGCATAGTGGTGCTCCTGGCGATGCAGGCACGTGTCGGTGCTTTGCCGGCAGGTCAAGCGACTCAAGCTTGCGGTGAATCACCCACTCTCACAACTTTGCCTTTGCGTGTTGAAGCAGCGCCCATGCCACGTCGCCGGTGACCTTTGACAGCGAACTTGCAACAACACTTAGCTGCGCACATGTGGCACTCAGTGACCCGATGTCACCAGGACAGCTTTCCCGATGCCACACGCATCAAAACTGGCGAGGCCAAGACCACGCCGGCCTTGATGCCTGGAATGTCCCAGAACGACATTGCCTTGGCGCAATTCGACGGACCGTGTAACTGGCCTATCTCCCAGTCCGGATGGCATCATTTGTGTCTGTGTGTGTGTGTCATTGCTTACATCTCGCTGGGGGTGGTGCGAATCGCAGCGTCACCAGAAGTACGGAAATCCAAAGCTTGGCAAGAATGGCTGCGAGGTAGACACACGAATCACTACCTTTCGCAAGACTGTTCAATGAGCTCGTGATGCCCCAACAGCCCAGGGTCCTATGAGCTTCGAGCAAGCTCTCAACCAGAGAGGAGCCTGGAAGGATTGCATGGTCTCGAGTTGGAGCATCTGCATATGTATTTATGTATGGCCTGCAGATCAGCCACTAGCAGCTCACTAGCAAACACCAATTCGTAAAATCAAGCATGCACATCGTTCAGGTTTCGAGGTGTTCTTCAGGCGTGAAAGCTCAAGCTTCTCGATGCTATCTCACACTGTTTACTGCCCTGTAGCTTTCTTTAGCAAGGACCCACAGCGCCTAGTGCTGAGTTGCCACCTGCGGCTTCTGAGACCTTGCGTCGGCAGAATCTTGAGACATCCTCTAGTTGCACTCCCCGGAAACTCTCAACACTGAGCAGGATGCCGCGGGAACCAGAACCGACTCTCCCGCATCAGCCAGCGGTGAAGGAACATCGGCCTTCGACGAATACTTCTCCAATCTTCTCTAGCTGATGCAGCATCCATATATGCAGTGGATCGTAGATCCGCGTACCGGCCGGATCTTGCAGCTAACTTCAGAAATCATGGCCTTCCTGGCAGAACTGACAGGTCCTTGGCTTCCGGAAAGCTACAGTACGTTGCCCGCTTCCTTCTCACAGCCACTGTGGAGCGAGCCCGAGACCGGAAGCACCTTGAGCAGGTGTTGTTACAGTGCATTCTCTCTGCATACGTTCAATGCTCGGCCCCGGGCCTCCCAGCCCCAGGCCTTGCCAGATTGCACATTCAAAAGTCATGCTTATCATGTTTCCTGTACGAGTAGCAGCAAAGTGCCTCCGTTCTGTTTTCCCTCTCCTTGTCATCAGAACCGTTCACAGCCCCTTCGCTGTCAAGCCTCAGCGTACTACCGCGAGGCTCGAAAGGTTCTGGTCTTCGCCGATGAGAGCATGGTGGCAACTGGACACGTACGTCCGAGAGCCTGGCATTTTGTCAACCTTTCGCGGGAGCCGGGGAACAGGCGCCAAGTCATCGAAAAGATCTAGCCTTGGTGAGACAACCACGCAGGGCATCGTTGGCCTTGCTGCGCAAGGTTTCAACAATAGTCTAAGCTTAACAGTTGCGCCTCGCCATTGACAACTACAGCCAGCACACGAAGATGGTCCGCTGTAAGACTCCAACAGCTTCTGCTGCGCTTCACCATCGATGCCCTGTGAACAGCGGACAATCTCGCAAAACAGCGGGCAAACCAAGGACCATGGCACGCTCCTGCTTCAGGAGCTGCTCGCCAACGGCAGGCTTCAAAAGGCGATCTGCCTGATGCTGCTGGCGATGCATCCCTTGCATCCAGCGGGTATCTTAGCAGGGCCTGTGCCAGATCCTCCCGTGCAGAGGACAGGATGTCAAGGAGCCTTCGCTGCGTGATCCGATGATCTTGATCGCTCTTGTGCAGAAGAGCCTCTGAGTCTTGGGCCCGATGAGTGCATTGCGGAAGGCTTGGTTTCCCATTCCAGGGCTAGAGCTCAACCTGCGCAGCCTGGGAC